AGTTGTACAAGCTATGTGTACCTGTAGGTCTTTTCCAGTTAACTATTTCCACTTGCCCACACACTTTTTTCCCTAAATGAATCAGTTATTGTGATTCGATTCACATTCCATACAGAAAAATGGAAACAAAGAAGCACAGACGTTAGCTGCGGACACAAGAGGCCTCAGGCTGCCCATGCTTGCACATCATGACAGATGCAGCTGCAGGAATGATGTCCCTCTCCAATCAGCTGCTGTGTATCACTGAGGCCTCATTGTATTCTCCTGTGTCTAATCCTGATTTTTTTCTATCATAAGTTTCTTAACTTAATGAATGATGGCTTGAGCAGCAAGAATATATAACATGACATTAAGAAACAAAATACCCAGAGAAAATGAGCTAGAAAACTAAACAAAGCAGGAGGGAAACGGATGTTTCTGAGTTGGGATCCTCTAAAGAACATTTTTTTAGATCTTATGGGATTCTTGTATGAAACACGTCTGTTTCAGGTGCACAGATCTTCCCTGAATGTAATGATAATGTGTCTATTACTCAGAGGCTTTTCTCTTCCACAGGGAAATGAAAATCAAACACTGTATGGCTTATTTTCTTATATCAGCTTGCTTTCATTAACTTTTTTGTATTCTGAAATAGTGACTTTGCAGTCTGGTATTTTAAACTGTATTCACTTTTTACCATACCATTAGAATATTCCCCAGATAACTGATTGACCTAATTCTATAATTCTCATCTAGGAAAATCTGTAACGTGTTTTTACATCTAGCATATAGTATCTGCCAGGATTCAAACAGACAACTGTGAATCTCATCTTAGACTGAGCATGATAACACTATTTTTTAGAGACTGCTTGGACAAATGAAGGAGATACATTTTGTCTACGGGCTTTGTAGTATGTAAAACATCACACACATGTGTCCAGTCTAAAAACACTGAGACATAAAAGAAAGGCCATAGGGTTTATTCGGAATCCCAGGCCCTTTGTGCCCATTTTATGGGAAAGAAAGTGGGATATTTAAGGATAAGTCCTACGCAAATGCAAGGGTTTCCTGAAACAATGCAGCAGCTCAATGGCCTACACCAGTCATGGTGAACCTTTCGAGATGAATGCTGAATGCCCAAACTGCAACCCAAAATGTGAACACTACAGTTAAGCCTGAATACTCAAGTTTTAGGTTAGAAAAAACAACCCATATATTAACATCTTTTGTCTTAAAAGAAAAACAAGTAACTCACATGCCATAGATTTTTCATCACTGGTCTACAACTTTATGTTGTTAGAACTTGTGTAAGCTTCTATCTTGGTTTCTATCACTTTGTCCAATAATATGTAGTCATATGCCTTCTCTCCCTACCCTGCAGAATTTTATAAACTGAACCCATGTCAGGTATCTTTCAATGTCCAGAACTTAGTCCAGTGTCCGCTGAGTATTGTTAGGCCAAATATGACAGAAGAAATAACAACCTATCCCCTCATATCCACATTTATACCACTGTTACCTAATAAGATGTTCACTTACACAACAGAAGGGACTCTGCAAATTTGATCAATTCAATGATCCTGAGATATGGAAATTATCCTGGATTATCTAGTTGGAGGGAAGCAAGTCAGAAAAAAGTTCTAATGCCAACAATAGAGAATAGAATGTCACGCTTTGAAAATAGAAGAAAGGGCACAGGCCAAAGGATGCTACATTCTGGGAAAGGCACAAAAAATAATTACTCATGAAGCCTCTGGAAAGAATGTGGCTCTGCCAATACATTACTTTAAATTTTTTGAGCTCCAGAATAATAAGGAAATAAATCTGTGCTTTGCCAAGCCATTAACTTCATTACAACAGCAAGGGGAATCTAAAATACTTTGTTAAGAATGTAAATTAATAACTACCATAGGGATGAATGAGTGAATGAATGGATGTATGGTTGAGGCGAACTCTACCCAGAAAGAAGAGAGGCCAAGTTCAGGTCGCAACTTAGGGATAACAGTTAAGTAACTTGGGCCTGTTATTTAATATCTGAAGAATTCTTCAGCATACGATGTAATACTGTAGAGTAAAACTGCCCAAGATCCAAGTCCCTCTACATAACTTCCTGACTCTGCATTTTCCAGCAAGTGGTCATAGGTCTCAGCCTGCACCCCAGCTGTAAAATGGGTAGGAAAAGTACTTCTTACCCAAAGTTATTGTGGGCAATGAATGAGCTCTAATCTAGTCATAGTTGATGGGGCTCTACACTAGATGAACCAGAAATTGTAGTCACATAAAAATGTCACTAATACCACTTCACACATAAAACCTGAAATCATACAAATTCTCTAAATTTAAAAAGTCAAGACTGCATAATGGCAAGACTGGTAAATTGTAAACAATTTACTACAGCATGATAGAATTGGCATGTCTGCTGAATAGAAGCAACCATCATCTACTGAGAGAAACCACACTGACTTATGCAAGTTATAAATCATACAAGGAACATAGCATGTGAGATCTTCAGAAACACAGTCATTTAACAAAACAGGACCACATTTAATGCATGCAAATCAGTTAGCAAGGGCCTGGAACACAGAAAGCTATTACTCTGTTATTTTATTAGCTCAATGATAAAAACCTCAAAACGCACACTTCTACCATGATGGAAAATGAAAGAAATTGCATTCCTAACAGCCTAAGCTTTATGTGAGTCTCCGCTGCTGAAGAGAAATTCTACAGGTTGGGAAATCTGAGTCATGTATTAATGATACCCTATATTATAAGGCAAAAAATTCCCCAGTTTTCTCCAAAATAAATACTTTACTTCTGGGAAAGTAATAATTACTGGTATTAGCATTTAAATCTTGCATAAGATATTTGGCTACTTGAGACTTCAAGTGGTTCAATATAATTGTGTCAACTTAGTTGGCCTGTGACTTGCCCAGGGGATTAGTAAATGACAATAGTAGGTATGTCTGACTGACTTAAGGAGGTATACTTTTGGATACTATGTACAGTTCCTGGTCCCCTTTTCTCTGTTCCGAGAAGCAGAGCTTGGGAACAGAAGCAGAGCATGGTGGAGCAAAGCTGCGTGGTTCTGAGCAGTAGAGCATGTCTTGAAGCCAGCTGACCATGGACAGAACTCCCTGAAACCATGAGATAAATTTAATCACTCCTCCTTTAAAGTGTGGTATTGGATTTTGCATCCCAGCAATGGAAAAGTCAGCTAATACAGAACCACAGTTAGAATATTAGAAATTATGAAGTACAAAAGACTTCCTTGGGACTCAGTGTTGTGTGCTATACTTTTCTTTGTTTCTAATTCTTGAGTTCCCAGAGTACAAGGTTGTGAATGGAGCATACTAAAAGTTAAATAAATGTTTGTAGAATGTATAAATAAACTTTATTAGTTATATAACCCATGCCATTCTCCCATTTGACAGGATCCTAAGGCCACTTACAGTAATAAACATCTCTTCTGCATAGCATTAATTCCAAGTTATTAGCAATCTCCTTTCTAAAGGTAAGAGCTAATGTCTTCCCCCCAAAAGTAGACAAGTTTATAGAGAGGAAAGTGTTTTAAAACATGTGTTTTTAGTGTATGTGCTTTTCAAAGCCTCCACTTCAAGAGAAAAAAAACATAAAATGTTCCCTTAGCAAATGAATTTTAGAAATCTTCCTTTTGTCTTTTGCTAATCTCCTCTGGGGTAGTTTAAATCAACTCTTTGTATATCTCTCTAGCTCTCTTTTTTTTTCCCCCCTCTGGCAGAAGCAACTAAACTCTTGCCTGGTCTTTGCACTGAGTTACATCCCAGCCTTTTTTATTTAAAAATAAAAAAAAATTAAAAATTAAATTAAAAATAAAAAAAAAATTGAGACACAGTCTCAATGAGTTCCCAAACTGGGCTTGAATTTGTGATTCTTTTGCCTCAGCTCCCCAGAGTACTGTGTACTGTGATTACAGGAATGTGTCACCAAGCTCAACTCTATCTTGCCTTTTAACATGTTCATGATGGGACCATTATTTGTATTCTCACTGCTGAACGACTTGAACCACTGTTGGTACATATATGACTATGCCATTCCAGTGACTGTAGCACTTCTACCATTAGTAGTATAAGCCACTGGATGGGACAGTCATATACCTACCGGTGGTTCAAGTTAGTGAGAATGTGTTAATCAGTAAGAACCTATAGCTACCCAATGACTGGCTCAGATTTCTGCCTATTTCCTTGCTTTCTTAGTTTACTATTAAAAGTTGTACAGTAAATCCTGAGTCTCTATTTGTTATTTTCAATAAAAGTCTTAAATGTATCTATATAATGTTCCAATTGTATTTCCATTGTATTTCCCTTTCCAAATCTGCCAGAACTTTCTCATCAGTGTGGCCAACTGGGGTGATAGAGTAGATATCCTGCTTTCTAGACTAACTACCTTGCTTGTCAAAAAAGAACATGAGTTACGGGTAATTAAGAGAAGATGATGACTTCTTACTTCATTATCTCTTTCCTATTTGGACCCCTTTAGAGTCCATATTGTCAGTTACAAGAACTTTGAGCATCAGTTGCTAGCCCAGATCTCATCTCTTCCATGGAAACTTGGTCTCATCATCAAATTTTGGGTCTAATCAGGCCATTATTCAGTTACCTTTAGCTTCTTATGTCCAGGAGGGTGTGATGAAGATTTTACTTGGACCACATTACTTATTCTCTGTAAGTCCCAAATGTTCCACCTCTGGTAAGAATTCCTTAGCTCCTCAAACAGGTTAGGTCACTCCCCATTGTTCACAGAGAATACTGTCATTGCCTCCCAACTCACCAAATTCTGCAATGATATTGTTCTGTGTCTCTGTTTCATCACATTTTTCCATTTTCCTACAAACAAATCTATGATCCACTTCAAATCAAGAGTATAAGAAACACATGGCTTAAGTAAACATGTATACAGTTTCAGAAACCAGAGGTGACTGGGTGGCTCCCAGGGAAGAAAACAAGCTGACTGGTATCCAGTCAAGAGTAAGAAACATGGTATACCTGATAGACCAGCACACTAACAGTTTCTTCTTTGTTCTGCTCTGGAGGTCCTTGACTCTGCAATAGATTTCGCACTGTTTCTTCCATCCTAAGAAAAAAAATATAAATAATTTCTTAAAGAAGGATTCCCCTTATCATGGTTCTGTTCTAGTTAGCAGAAATCACTTCTTAGGATGTATTTGCTAAGTTCATAGCAGGAAATATATTTTTTCTTCCCTCTCTTTTGTTCTTAATTTTAAGAATTTGTCAAGAACTCATTTATAGCCCTTCTTGAGAATGCACATCTCTGAGTTCTTTCTCCTTACCATTTGGGTGCCTATCTATCGCCTTGGACATCTGTAGTAATGCACACATCTCCCAGCTGCTCTCTTTTAATTTGAAACAAAGTTATCACATTAATCTTCCTGAAACACCACTTTGATTTTTTAAAATCAATTTTCAAAGTTAACAGTTATCACATAATGTATTTTCTCCATTGGTGATCTTTTTGTGTCATCAGAGAAAGATTTACTTCATTCTTTTCAATGGTTTCTTGGTACTTCATGGAATCAATGTTCTGTACAAGATTTAACTATTCCTCTTCTAGTGGAATTGAAATGGCTCACAATTTTTGATACTTCAAATGACCAACATATTTATACTTGCATCATTTAAGGCATTTATGAATATTTCTGTACTTTAAACTATTATGTATTGTATATTCAATCCTATTATTTAAAACAGTCACTTCTCAAGGATCCCCATTGTTCGCAATGCCCATTTCCACTTATAGACATCTATTCAGGCTGTTACTACATTTTGGAATGCCAGCTTTTTTTCATTCTCCTGTAAGTAACTTAACAGTGGAGTGAAAAACTTCAGACAAACCTGGACATCCAAACCTGGACTATTAACTGGGGAAATTCTACCTTTTCAGAGGATGGGAATGGGACCCACTCAGGCTTTCTATAAGATGGGGGCATTGGTTCTGAATTCTGTTCCTCTTTTTTTGTCTTTTTCTTTTTTATCGGTTCCAGGGATCGAAATCACGACCCCACACTTGCAAGGCAGGTGTTTATGCCACTGAGCTAAATCCCCAGCCCCATTGGTTATGAATTCTAAAAGATGATTTGTGACCGCACATTTATACACTCTCTTAGTGCAGCCATGTGAATAAGGAGAGACAGTTCCCTATATTTTCAGAAGTCTTATGTTGTTAATAATAACTCAAATTGAATAGTACTTTTGTCAGAGAACCCTCTAATCTATAAATTATTATAATGTACTTTTAAAATATCATTATATTTATTAGTTGAAAAAGCTGAGACACAGAAAGACTGCATGGTTGCTGAAAGGATCATGGTTACTTGGATACAAAGTTAGGATTCAACAATTTTTACTTATCTAAAAACAGCAGCCTCTTTCTACTTGACCTGTTGATATTATTAAGGGCCATTATTCTGAATAAATAATAGTCCTAACTTCTAATGAAGAGTTAGCTCAGTCAATCCCTTTTGGATGTGGAACTAAAGAAGGCAAAGACCTAAGATCTGGTAGAAATTTTTTAAAACATTTAGTTGGAAAGATAGTTGGGAATGGTAGGTCATAGCCAATTTCTAATACTTCATTTCATTGCACGTACAGAATCACTTTAGAGACGGACTACCACAATGTTTGCCAAATCTATCCCAAACCAGAACAATAATGATAAATGTTGGAAGACTTGTCTGACCTTCTAAATTGTGGTAGGTCAAAGACAGTTCTTTGGTTTTCTAAATATGTATTAGAGTCACGCCATATGAATATGTTTGGTGAACTGAACAATGGACTACATATGGGATGGATGGTGATTCTATAATGTTATGTCCAGTGGAATCACTGTCATTTATACTCTCTGACATTCACACAATGACAAAATTGCCTAACAATGCAGTTCTCATAAGAATTCTCCATTATTAAATCATGCATGACTATAGGTTACTTTTTTCCCATTTTAGTACATAAACTGGAAATCTTATTCTGATCTTGGATTCACTCATTTTGTAAACATCAGGTCTAAAAGTGGCCCAGTAGTTAGAATTCAGTTAAAATAAAATCATACTTTATTTATTTAATAAATTAAAATATAATGTCTATAAATCTTGCTGATTTATCTCTGTATAATTAGAAGCTCTATGGATAATTTGATAAATGGAAACAGAAACGCCTATTCATACCTTTCCTTTCACCCTGCTTCTTGGTTGTATATTGAAAAGAAAGACAAAAAAGGAAAACATGGGAGTAGACAGGAAATCATTAAAATAATCTCAAGCAGCCCAGAACCCTCAGAAATAACTGTGAACATTTTTCTGACATTACTATGTGATAATAAAAACAAGTCCCTCTCCAATCCATATTTTTGGAGGAGAGGTCCAACGACCCATTGCAACCCTTCATTTAAAAAAAATCAAGTTGTCTTACTTTTTATAATGTTTATGAATCTGGTCACATAAAAATATTTTCAGTCTTATGAGACTATACCATTATTTATTCCCTGAGGATGTCTTTTCTGAATATTCACTAAGGAAACTTTTACTTGTTTAAAAATTAAAGACTGTGAAGAACCATTCATTTTGATTCTGATGCCCAATGATATTTTGCTTCGTTTTATTATTTTGATAGTTGTGTAGCAGAGTTCACATTGCTAGTCGGCACACAGTACAGCTCTGCCATCTGTTTCCCAAATTTGACTAAAAATAAGCCAATGCCTGCCTTCACTTCAGGTTTGAGCAGGGCTTTGGTTTTTGTTTGTTTCCAAGTTGCTGATAGGTGCCATGAGTCTTTAAACACTGACCTGAAGTGATGTTTTCTGGCTCTCCTCAACTGTAATTAAATCCTTTCCTAAATTTTCACAAGTAGCTGTCATAACTAAAAATATGCAGAAAAAATTTAAATTCAATGAAATGTAATAAATCCTAATACACATTAAGTATATCTTTATTTTTTAAACATTAACTCCTAGGCAAGCCAGAGAAAATATGTTAAATGCCTATGCAAACAATATGTTTTAGGTCACAAAGGTAAAAACATAGGAGATGTAACTTATTAAATACACCGCATTTGACAAGGTAACATTAACACATTATTTATTCACAACAACACATTTTATTATCGTATTTCCTGTGAGGATTAGTTAAAAGTGCTAATTTAAAATAAGGTAAATAGGATTTTCAATAATATTGCATAACCTAAAACAGCTAAAATATATCATTTTCACAGATGACATCATCCTGTACATAGAACAAATAATTTACCCAAAAATCTCAGGCTTAATAACCAAATTGAGCAATATAGAAGGATATAAAATCAGCACACTAAAAGCAAGTGTTCCTGTACAACAATAATAAATTCATAGAGAAAGAAATTAGGAAAACAATTCCATTCACAGGAGCATCAAGAAAAATTAAATACTTAGGTATTAACCTGAACAAGTAAATGAAAGACTTTAACAATGTTCTGAAAAAGAGGACTCAAGAAAACATCAGAAAATAGAAAGATAGTTCCTGTTCCCAGACAGGCAACATAGATGTCACTTATTTCCAATAATGATATATAGATTTAATGCAATCCTAAACAAAATACCAGAGTTCCTCAGAAAAGTAGAGGAAACAATCCTAAAATTCATAGGAAACCAGAGGAGACCCTGAAAAATAAAGCAACCTTGGAAACATGAGAAAAGCAGGAAACATTACTATCTCAGATTTGAAATTAGGTTATAAAGCTGCAGTGATAAAAACAGTATGGTACTGGCACAAAAACAGACACACAGATCAGTGGAACAGAACAAAAGATTCAGAAACAATCTGAAGCACATTGAGATATATGACCTTTGACAATATGGCCAAAAATATATTCCAGAGGAAAGAGCACCTCTTTGACAAATGATGCTGGGAAAACCAACTGTCCACATGTGGAAAACTAAATAGGTATCACCATTTACTAAACTAATAGTAAAATGTATTAAAGAACTAAAAGCTAAAACAAAAACATTTAACCTGATATAAGATAAAAAGTAAAACTCTTAGTGTAGGCAAGGGTTTTTCTGAATAGAACTCAAACTGCACAAGAAATAACATCAAGAATCAACAAATGGGATTATATCACATTAAAAAAAAACTTCTGTATAGCAAAGGAAAGATCAGAATGTATAACGTCGAAAAATTTTTTTGGTAGCTATCCCTCAGACAGAACACTGATATCTGGAATACATAAAGAACTGAAAAATTTAGGCCACCAAAATAAAAGATCCAAGTTTTAAAAAAAGGCAAATGAAATAGATACTTCTCTGAAGAAGAAATACAAATGGCCAATAAACACATGAAAAATATTTAATACCTGTAGCCATTAAAAAATGCAAGTCAAAATGGGATTCTTCCTTTCTCCAGAAAGAATGGCCATCATCAACAAATCACAAAGTAAGGAATGCTGGGGACGCTGAGAGAAGAAAAGGAACACTTCTACACTGTTTTGGGGAGTAAACTGGTACAGCCACTACGCAAATCAGTATGGAGAGTCCTCAAAAATCTAAACATAGAAATTTCATTTGACCTAGCTATCCCTCTTTAGATATCTTCTTAAAAGAGTTAAAGACATTGTATTATGATATGTAAGTATCTATGTTAATAGCAGCACAACTTATAATAACTAAATCTTGGAAGTAGCCTTGAGAAACATCAACAGAGGAATGGATAAAGAAAGTGTGATACGTATACACAATGGAGTACTGGCTGCAATACATAAGGATAAATGAGTCATTTGTAAAAAAATGGTTCTACCCTAAAGCCATAGTGTTAAATGAAATACATCTGACATACAAGCTCAAATATTGTATATTTGATATAAATTTTACATATTTGTATATATCCAAAATACAAATATTTTTAAAAGCAAAAAATAAAAGATAATAAGCAACAAGGAAAGAAATCTTTTGTAAAAGGGAAGGAGACTAGAACACTGAAGCAGACAGGAGGAAGTGAACAGAAAGGGAATGAAAAAAGAACTATGATGCATTATGTACATGTACCGAATCTTCATGACCAACGTAATCATTATATACTTCAAATGTACTAA